CCTGCAAAGTCAATGCAAGTTTTAAATGAGTTCTTTGGAATTATGTTATAATAAAGCCAAGCCATTCCTATTACGGTCGAAGTATTAAACTCTGCTCCTGTAATCACCAAGCATGCCCTGTGCACTTCTTTTCAACACCCTTCTTCTGATAACAAAAGTGATATGCATGTTTGCAGTAGGGAGATTGGAAAATACTTAAAAGTACACGATTCAAAAGAAAATGCAGTCTTACCACTCACAGACCAACTACATTTCCACTTTATGTCCACACACACAAGACGATGTTCCTAGGATTTTTCCCTATGTGCTGAAGGCATGCTGTCTTAAAATCCTGAGTGGATGTGAACACGGAAGGCTCTGAGTCTCTATCTCCACGCTGTCCACCTTCTAGTCACAGGAACCCAGACTCAAGCAAATTTGATTTCAAGGGCCACGTGTTAACCTTGTGAAACAGACAGCGCTGCGCTGGTGTCTGATTTGCACTCTGTCGCTGTGACAGATAATCATGACCAAAAGCAGCTTGGGGGAGGAATGGGTTCGTTTCAACTTACAGGTTACAGTCTGTCACTGAGGGAAGTCAAGGCAGGAAAGGCAAGGGGAGCTGAAAGTGGAAACACGAAGAGCACCACTTCCTGGCTGGCTCAAGGCTCATGCTTACACAATCCAGCGCCTCCTGCCCAGGGACTGGTGCCACTCACAGTGGGCTGGGCCATTCTGCATCAGTTAACAGAGAACGGATCTGGGAAGTCCATCAATCAGGACTCCTCCTTCAGTTGGCCCTCGGCTGTGTCAGGTCGACAGTGTAAGCTAACTAGGACAGACGGAGTGGGGTGTAGGATGAGTGCTTCAGTGGGTTGGGGAGAGGGCTTAGTCTGTAGAGCGTTTATCATGAAGATATACTGAGTTCAGTGCCTGAAGCCCACATTTAAAAGAAAAAAAAAAAAAAAAAAGCCCAGTGTCATGTGTGCTTGTAATCCCAGCACTGGTGAGGTAGAAGCAGGAATATCCCTGGGACTCACTGGCCATGCATCTTAAGCCAATCAGTTAGTCACAGACTGATAAAAGACCCCATCTCAATAAAATACTGTGAATGGTGCCAATGGAACAACATTCTAAGCGTCATGTGGCTTCCACGTGCACGCACATATACATACATCCGTGCATATCCACAGTTACACATGTGCCAGCACACATAACGTCTACATCCACACCAACCTCAGAGCCTTCTATTCCTTCTGTCCGGCCACCCAGAGTCATTGGCTTCACGCTACCCCTGTCTCCCAATAGCCATAAAAAATGCCACTATGAGTACGGGGACCAGGGCGCTGGCAAATGCAGGTGCCCTCTCATTCCAGTCTCACAGCCAGTGTGGTAGCTGCAGCACCGGGGGGCACAGACAGGCAGGTCCTCGCTAGCCAGCTAGGTGAGCTGGTGAGCCCAGGCTCAGTGAGAGGTCCTGTCTCCAAAAATAAGGCGGATGGATGGCACCCAAGGAAGGCTGCTGACATTATCAACCTCTGGTCCCCACGTGCACAAGGGCAGGTGTGCGTGCCCTTGCCCTCTACACTCGTGCACATGCCCCCGACATGTGCATAGAGCAACACACACATAATCACAGCATCTCTCTCTCTCTCACATGCACACCAATTATCGCAGACATCAGGACATAGCATCGAGATAGATTGTGTGTGTGTGTGTGTGTGTATGTGTGATCACAAATTAGTTCCTTTTATAACTCCTCCACATAGAAATATTTCACAGAGAGAGAAAGAATATCTTCCTGGGGACTTGCTGCTTCTTGTCAAATGTCCTTCAAATATCAAACATTTTTGTGGCTGTCTTTTTAAACAATACATACATTTTTACTCTTGCACAGAAATCAAAAATTAAAAAAAAACACCTTTAAAATAAAAAACATAACAGATGTAAAACTTGCTGTCTTTATTTTTTATGTACTTTTTAATTTTCAGTAGCCTTGAAACAGTGTGGTAAATAATCTAGAGAATTAATGGGCATTTTAAAATGACTAATTCTGAGAAATAATAGGCATACTTAAGATTAGTATGATAAAAATCAGATGTGAAAGCAAAAGTTATATATTCAATTTTTAAACTATTCTATTAAATGTAAAACTTCATGTGTAGTAAATATTCATATTTAATTTTAGGTGCCAGTGTAACATATACTAAAATAAAATGGAACAATTTCTATGCTTCTATAAAAGAACCTATAAAGCAGTCATAAATAATTATAGTAAAACTCTTTTTGAAGTATTTTTATGGGACGAAAAATTGAAAACTTCCTAATAGGGAAATTTTCTTAAATGAGACATGAAATAAGTTAGCCATAGAGACCTAAAATGTAATACACCCTGTGGGAGCCCGGTGAGCAATCAGTCCTTAAGATAATTCCATACAGTGCAGAAAAACCAGGAGGTTTTTGGAAAAAAAGCCCTCCAAGAGGTAACAGGAGAGAAGGATGATCATTACCCTTGATTCCTCGAGAGAGACTGCTTTTCCTGGTCCTGGAAGGGCTTTGTAGGTCAGAGAACCCTTCCCAGGAAGACCCGCCTGTGGGGTTCGGAGAGAAGACAGGGTGGGCTCATGCTGGGAGGCACCCCCCGGGCATGACTTGTTGGCTAGAGAGCATGCTATTCGTGTTTACAGTGTGTGTGTGTGCGCATGGAAACCAGAGGTCAAGCCTGGAGTCGTTTTTTCAGACAGGCTCTCTCACTGGGACCTGGACTTGCTGATTTAGGTAGGCTGGCTGGGCAGTGAGCCCCAGGCACCTGCTTGTGACTTTCCCAGCACTGGGAGTACAGGCAAGCACTAACATACTATGCCAGGGGCTCTGAGGACCTAAGTCAAGTCCTCATGATTGTACAAGAGTCACTTTATGCAACGGGCCATCTCCCCAGCTCTGCATTTGCATTAAGAAAGATTTAAAAAAAAAAAAAACAAATCCCACCTCCCCACTGACCCTTCAGACTAGCCAGAGGGCTACAGGCTAACAAGAGGGAAGGGTCCAGGGGTTTCCAGCAAGAAGTGGTCTGGGACTGTGGGTGCTGTGGCCTCCCTGGCTCCTTTCTAGAGAAGTCCTTGCATGACATTCTGATGGTTGGTGCTCACTGTCAACGTGACAGAATTTAGAGTCACCTAGGATCAGGGCTTCCCGGCAGGCATGTGGGTTACCTTGAGCGCATTAATGGAGATGGCAGGGTTTCCTGGCTGGGAACCTGGACTGTGGTGGAGAGGGGGCGCTGACAGCAGTGCGCATTCATTTACCCCCTCTCTGCTTCTGGACTGCGACGAGAGCAGCTGCTTCAGAAGCCTGTAGCCTTGACCTCCCTGCCGTGATGGCCCTCACCTTTGACCTGTGAGCCAGGATAAGCCCTTTCTCCTGTAAGCTGCTTCCGTCAAAACATTTATCACAGCAGAAAAGAAAGACACCCAGACAGATGTGATCCGGAAGTACACATCTGTGTGGAGCAGGCCTTGCCTGACCTCTGACAGCAAGTCGCCATGTGACTTCAGCGGGCAGGGGAGGCTCAGAGAAAGGGTGTGTGGACCAGAGGTGCCTCTGTGACTTTCCTGCTAAAACTGGGCTATCTGGGGAGGATTTGGTCATCCATTCAAGCACATGCTGTCTTCAGGACAGCGGAGTTATTAGTGCGGCCCAACACAAATCATAAACTCAGTTAAAATATCACAGTTTGAGATTTTTTTTTTGTAACTCAGTTACTCGGTTTTGGAGTGTAAATTTTGTAGATGATAAGATGTGTCAAAGTGGCAAAAGTTGGACACATGTGTTTCTCCGATTGTTCCTCTGTGCAACTAGCCAGCCGAGGAGCCCGTGTGCACATGCACACACACACAAGGAATGCGCACTCCATAGGGAGTGACAACGGGAAAATTTAAAAGGAAGCCGTGGGCCCTTTGGCCAGTGGCATCTCTCCTTCTGGGCGAGGCTCCAGTGAGGTTTCTGTGGGGGCAAAGGACACAACAGAGTCACTCCCCCACAGATCAACCCGTGGCCCAGCTCTCTGCTGTGGACTGTGACTGTACGCAACCAGGTAGCTTAGCCTAGAACAAGCGGCCGCTCCCAGAACTCCTAACAGCAGTGTCCTGACCCCTGCAGAACCTCTGGATTAGTCCCTGGAGGTGTGTGGCATCTACCTTACAGTCAAGAGTTACTTCAGATACCCAGCTCCTGAGATGGCAGGGTGCTTCCCTACCAGAGGAGGCACAGCCACAAGCTGGCCTAGGTGTATCTTTTGTCTATTTATTCACTCTTTTTCTTTTTTTGGGAGGTGGAGGGCTCTGGCAGGTACAATGTGCAGACATGTGCACACTCCTATGAAGGCCAGAGGTCAACTTTCAGCTATCATTTCTCAAGCTCCGTCCCATCTTGTATTTTGAGACAAGCTTTCTCACTGGCCTGGCACTCGAGGAGCAGGGCAGGCTGGTGTCTTAGTACTTTGTTCTTACTGTGACAGAACACTGTGGCAAAGACAAGGTAGAAAAGGAGGAGTTTAACCAAGGGCTTGCTTGCAGTTTTAGACATTGAGTCCATGACCATCTTGGCAGGCAGGCATGGAGCTGGAACAGCAGCTGACAGTTTACATGTTAAGACAGGAACTGAAAGGCAGAGAAAGAGAGCTAACTGGCCCTGGCCACACCTCCTAATCCTTCTCAAACAGTTCCACTAACTGGAGACCCAGCCTCCAAGCGTAAGAGCCTATGAAGACCATTCTCATTGGAACTTCCACAGCTGGCTGGCCAGTGACAAGTGTTAATCTCTTCCTTCTCCATGCTGGGATTACAAGCATGCATCACAGCCAGCTGTTTCGTATGGGTTTTGGGGATTGAACTCGGGTCCCTGTGATTTCAAAACAAGTACGTTAGCTATTGAGCCACCTGCCTAGCCGGTGTTTGGCTCGTTATTACCCTTTGTTATGTTACCGTAAGTGCCCTTGACACTGTGTCTTGTCCCGGAAACAGAGCCATCACGTTGGAGAATCAGCTGGTGATCCTTGCTACAACAGCGAGCGATGCTGGGGCTTACTACGTGCAGGCTGTGAACGAGAGGAATGGAGAGAACAAGACAAGCCCCTTCATCCATCTGAGCATAGCACGTGAGTTTTGAAAACCCGACCCATGGTCCTGAAAGAAACAGAGTCTTGCTGTAGTTACTACCCATGGTGTGGTAGGACTCCATGCAGTGTGTCTTCTCTCTGTGTGCGCTTTATGGCTTAACATTGATCTGTTGTCGATAGTTCGAAGGGGTTCAGAGCCATTGTCTCCTTTGAATGACTTGCAGACAATATGAATTTTATATTTTTAACCCAAGATCGTACTTGTCTTGCCGACTTAAAAAAAAGTTTGTTCTTTTTGTCCACTGCTAGTATTACTGTTTGAATGACTTCTTCAGACTGTTCCTATGGCTCTTGTTTGCCAGTAAAAAGCAGGTTATGTTCTGTGAACCTCAGAACAACATCGTTGAGAGAAAGAAAATGTACATATACAGTTGCATTTAAATTAGCAATATTGGGGCCAGCGAGATGGCTCAGAGGGAAAAAGAGCTTGAAGCTAAGCCTGATGACCTAAGTTCTTAAGTCAGTGCCCAGGCTCATGTGGTAGAAGGAGCACTGATGTTCAGAAGTTACACACACACACACACACACACGCCACCACCACACCACACCATGGCATGAATTTTTAAAAATGAGCAGTATTTTAAAAGGTAGGTCTACTGGTCAAGGCTTGTCATCTCCCATCTACAGGAGGCTGAGGCAGGAGGATTATAAATCCAAGACATGCCTAGATTACCAAGTGAACCCCAGACAATTTATAGGCACATTGCCTCGACATTTTTTCTTTTAAAGGCAGTGTCTAAGCATAATGCGTTGCTCATTTTCCACTTGACGCAACTAAATACACACGAGTTATAGTCGTAGACTCAATTATTTAAGGAAATTTTAGGTTGAAGGAAAACTTGAAATATTTGGACTTGGAAAATTTGAACCGTGAGCTGTACCGGTTGCTGCGGGCAGGTCAGAGGTGTGTCCGCCACGCTGGCAGCGCCTCCGTGATGGCGAAGCCCTCCTGAGAAAACACAGTGGAGGATGGTGTCGGAAGGTGAAGTTCAGAGTGTGATCCCGGCTTGCGGGGAAACTGTGTCTGTGGGTTTCGTCTTCCTGAATGGTGCTGGAGGCTTGGGAGAAGCGGTTTTCCGTCCACTCTCGTGCAATGTGTGGGGTGAAGAAGCGGTTTTCCGTGTTCTGCTAGGAGGGACAGAATGCACGGGGCAAGTGTCTGTCGTAAGCCCTGGGTGCCGGTGGAGGTGCCTAAGGGAGTGCGTCCTCGCATACCCGAATCCTGACAGCTGATGCATCTGTGTGGCTCTGTTGTGATTCCACCATCGCTCTTTTAATTCTTAAATGTGTGTGTGTGTGTGTGTACATTATTGTATGGCACCTCTGTGTACACGGTGAAGGACAGGCGTCTTCTTCAGTTGCTCTCCAGCTTTTAGGAGCATTTTGTGTGAAGGTGTGCGCATGACTGTGTGCGTGTGTGTGCGGTGTATGATGGTATGTGCACATACGTTGGGTGTGTGTACATGCTTCCACACTCATGGCTGTCCTGGACAGACAGGATGTCAGTGTTCTGTTATGTCACACTCCACTATAGGCTACTGAACCTGAAGCCAGGCTGGCCGCCAGCAAGTTCCAGCAATCCACCTGTCTCCACCTTCTGCAGTGAGGGCGCTGCAGACACACTTTACAGCGCCCAGGTTTTGTTACTGTTACTGTGTGGAGACAGGGTCTCTATGTAGCCTTGTCTGTCCTAGAACTCACTCAGAAATCAGAGTGACGACATATGACCTCGTAGAGTTCTGCCTGCCTCTGCTGGGATTAAGGGTGTGTGTGTGTCACCAAGCCTGGCCAGCACCCAGCTTTTACAGGGGTCCTAGAATTTGGAACTCAGAGCCTCCTGATTGTGCAGAAAGTGCTCTCCACCTGAGCCATCCCTCTAGCCCCCTTCCTCCTCGTTTTTAAGGTGGGCTCGCTCACTAAACCCAGAGCTTACTGATTCAGCTGGGCTGGGGTGATGGCTGGTGACCCCCAGCACCCAGCACTGTGCACTAGGGATCCTGCATCTGGGCCCAGTCTGTATGTGGGTTCTGAGGGATAGAATTCAGATCCTTACACTTGCCCTTCGGGCTCTTTACTGACTGAGCCAGCCCTCTAGAGCCTCCTTAATTCTGAGGATACTGAGTCATCCTCCCCGGATTATACACTAGGCAAACTGAGGGTTGGTCAGGCCTTTATAATGCACATTGATTAGATGCAGAATCACAGCATCCCATGCGTGATTCCCTGCTACTGAGAGACATGAGGTAAATATTCTGACTTGAGATAAAGACTAGAACTAGTACAGTGTGTTCTCCAAGTCCCTTGTGAATGCAATACTGCAGCGGTAGATAATTGGAATATGTAAAAATTTTGCAGTAACTTCAGCTCTATCCCAACCAAAAAGTATATAAGAAGCCACTCGTAAATATTATAATTAGCATGCTCCCATCTTATTCCCTTGTAAAATTATTATCTTTTCATTCTCATCAAGTAAAACACTTACACTTGAGCTATAATGAGGCTGCTGCTAAAGACTTACGTTATGTTAGGTAAAAGCTCTGCATCCTGTTCCTTCTATAGTCTTCAGTTTTTATCAAAACCAGATATGGTGTGGGAAGGGAAGAGGGTGGAAGAGCTGGTCTTATTTTAATTCTTAGGCGAACCGTCCCCTGACACATCAGACTTAGCTAAATGTTAAATGGAACCAATTATGCCTTTCCCAGTAGAAGTTCTATTTGGAAAACCTCTAAGGATCAGAAGTCTTGATAAATCCACAAACCCCTCCAGGATGTGTGTTTAAACATGGCTGCCTGTGTGTCACATGGTGCTGTGTAGGTGGAAGCTACAGCTTGGGATGGGCCTGTAGCCTCCCATGAGGCCTTGAGGCCTGGTAGAGCCATCCCTGCCCTGGACTCCCCATGGAGTTAGACATTCTCAACAGCCGGTCACATTCTTATTGAACTCGGGGGTCAGGGACTGTGCTCCAGGCCAGGTGCAGGCCGTTATCCTCAATAAGCCAATTAAAAGAATCTAATTAATTGTGGAAAGCAGGAGGAGGATATTTATCTGTCCAATATGGCCACATTGGGAAGAGGGACAAAGCCATCCCCCAAGTCCACCTTTGTGTGTGTGTGTGTGCGTGTGTGTGTAGAGGGGTGCTGAAATGAGATTAAAAACTGGCTTACTAGAGGGGCACATAGATGTACATCTAAACCGTGCTAGTCAAGGTAAGGTCCTGCCCACTGTTGGCCCATCATGGCCTGGGCTTTGGTCTCATCCTGTTATGCGGCCTGACAAGGACTGTGTAAAACCTTTTTCCAGAGACCAGCTCCCATCAGGTCGGTGCCTTTCTGTTCTGTGGAATGTCTTCACCCCCGCCAGGCCCCTGACAGCTGCAGAGGTGTGTACTGTCTACAGCCTCCGAGGTCCGTTTTGTGTTTTTCTGAGGTTGGCTTTTATGAGAACACCTTGGGAGAAGGGTGACGATTTAAAAAAACCAAAAGCCAGCCAGTGTTCCAGAAGAATCAGAAGGTATTTCCGCCAATTAGCATTTAGTGAATACAAATCCTACCCCCTTTCGTCTAGAGAATGAAGTAAGGGGCTTTGGTGTAGTAGCTGCGACCAGCGTGGTCCACCCTTTGTTGGGAATTAAATTTGGCATGGGTCATACCGCAATTAGTTAAAAGGTGAACTATCACTGGTCCCATCCCTTTTTTTGCTATAAGGTAGGAATACAGGGAGGGACAGAGCTAACCTTGTGTGTGCATCTAAATAAATAGTGTGTGTCACCTGCCAACAAGAGACATTTCCAGAAAGTGTGTATGTGTGTGTGTGCTCACACTTGCATGTGAGTGCATGTGAGCATGCGTGTGTGTGTGTGTGTGTGTGTGTGTGTGTGTGTGTGTGTGATATTCATGTGTGTAGACAAGGAGACTAGAGGAGGATGTCTTCCTCAATTGATTTCCATCTTATTTTTAGAGACAGGGTTCGAAATTGAAATCAGTGATTGGCTGGGCTTGCTGGCGAGCAAGTCCTACAAATGAGCTTATTTACAGCCCCAACACTGGGTTATAGACACTAGACCTATGTCTGGCTTTTTATGTGAGTTCTGGGGATCCGAATCCAGATCTTCATGATCGGAAGGCAAGTACTTTACCAACTTAACCCTCTCCCAAAACCCAGGGGCTGAATATTTGGGCTGCACTTTGAGGGTACGGATAAAGATAAACATTTAAAATGCACGGATTAGTAGAGCTGAAACATGGTCTCCTAATGGGGCTGCATGCTGTGTCCCGCCTGTTCAGTGGGTAGCATCATTAGGTAGCAACACTTCTCCTCATGTGTGTGGCATGGGCCACGGGTATGCCAGTCTAGGAGGGAGGCTGACCACTCCATCCAGGCTCCAGAGCAACCTTGCTGCCTTTCTGGGGCAGGCTCGCTTCGATGCTCTAAGGTGACCTGTGACACAAGACCTTAAGAACATAGGTGGCATGGGGAAGCATTCTACAGGAATCTTCCTTAGCCAGCTCCTGCAGCTCAGGTGTACACCCAACAGAGAGTGGGCTGAACTTGCCTGGAAGCAGACATTTCTATTCGAGGTCAGACCCAGGAAAGCTTTATAAACCTGTCAGCCTGCCTTGCCCTTTCATTTTGAAAAGTTTACATCGAGTTAACTTCCTCATATTGGCTCTTCCACACTGAATTAATATGTGAATGGGAGTTTCTTCTTTAAAAAAAAAAAAAAAAAAGCCTCCAGTCAGGAGATCAGATTGGATGGGGTCTGTGCAGTGATTAATCAATCACTGTTTAAAAGCCCGTCGCCCAGACTTTAGACACATCATCACTTCTGACCCAATATTCAAAATGTCCAGTGTAATGAGATTCTCTGTGAGGGATGAAGCTTAGATTAAAGCAGAAATGACTGGTTCTCTCCTTCCTGCTTTCTTCACCTCTTTCATTTTAATGTCTGCTCTTCAAACAACATTTCCAGATAGGCTATC